ATTATCTTTTTGCAAAAAAACTTCGTTTAATACGTGACTTGATTAATAACTATGATTTTCAAGATCTGCATTGCAACTGGATGATTTCAAGTAACGAACTCGTAATTAAGACAATTAATTCAATTAAAATCGACCATATACAATGCTACGATTTCGAAAACCTTTATACTACCTTACCGCTTGAAGAAATTTATACCAGCTTACTTGCTCTACCAGATATAATTCCTCAGATTTCTACAATAATTGATAACGAAAAATGGCAACTTTTTCTTACGAGCATGCTTTTCAATAATTATATTCTCTTTAACAATTGTATCTTCAAACAAATACAAGGGATCCCAATGGGAGGAAATTTTTCGAGCTCCGTCTGCGAATTATTCCTTTTCACAAGAGAATTGACATTTGTCCGATCTCTGGACGTAGCAGAACAAAATTTTTCAAAACACATTTATATCGTTACATTGATGATATCATAGCCTTTAACAACCATAACAAAATAGAAGCAGCTAATATCTACCCAACTAGCTTAAAGCTAAATAAACAAATACGGTGCAAAATAATGTAGTATACCTTGACCTTAATATCATTGATTACAATCTTATTAAAGTCTACGACAAGGGGAGAGAATTCGCTTTTCCTACACTAAAGTTAAACAAACTGGAATTCTAATATTTCCAAAAGAATCATCATTAACACAATTTTTTCACAGCTTCTTAGAATAAAAAGGATCTGTAATACTACAGAACACTTACAAGAAGAAATACTTTACTTCGTCACAATTTTGAAAAATAACCAAATTCCTCAGAAAATAATTAAAAATACTTTAAAAAAAGCTGGCATTAGCCTTACCAATTTTTAGATAATTTGTTTTGGATAATGAAATTTTCTGCTTAAAGCCTACCGGAGGGCAGATGATGGATGGCTAATTCAGATTATCTAATGTAAAAAATTGTATAAATGTAAATGTACAGTTAATTCTTCTACAAACATTTTCTTTCCTCCAAAGTTTTTGGCACTTTACTTTAATACTATTATGTAATAGTTTTAAATTACTTAGAAGGCCAGACTCTGCTTTTATTAACAAAATCGGGCCTTTTCATTTTTCATAGTAGCTTGACAGCCCTCTAACTTGAAGAATGACGACTTTTATTAACAAATGTTTTTCCAATTTACACTTTCTTTTGAGGCCAAAAATAAGTAATTTTAGCTGAATTAGCCATTTTCACTTATTTTTTACAGTTTTGTTCTTCCAACAACTTGACTGACGCCATTTTGAGTTCTTTCAGTGTCTTTTCTCATCTGTCACCCCCTTCTGTAAAAAAGAGGGGGACAAGACTTCCCGCCAACTTACTCTCTCAGCCCATTGGCCTCGTCAGTTTTTATAGCTTCGCACGATGACGTCATTTTACGATAAGGAAGGTTGGCTTAGACAAGAAGGGATTTTAGTGCCCTTTTCCAAAAAATTTTCGAAAGCTGTGGACGAAACCACTCAGGTCAGTTTTTTCGTTTCTTTTGTCTAGGTTTTTTGTCCTAATAAGACCCTGCGACGTTTTTTAATTACTAAATTGAATACATTTTTTTTACTTACAATGTTCATTACATTTTTATCTGTTTACAGCAACTTTCTTCTAATAAAAGTTACAAATTCTTTAAGGTCTAAAGTACCAGCCCGTGCGTTGATGTGTATTTTGACTAATAGCAGACCGCTATTTATTTTATTTTATTAATTTTATTTTACATAGCTCGGAATAATAATAGCTTTTGACACCTTAATGTGTTTTTCAGCGGACGCGTCGGGAAAAAGAAACAGAGCAGTGGAGCTACAAAAAAGGATTTATTCCAGAAAAATTTTTTCGGAAATACTAATGTTCTTTTTTATAAAAAAAATTTTTTCGCATTAAACAAGAGCTTCAATGGTCTGTTTCGGCGAAACGCGTAATGGTATTTAGCCTATTTCGTAGAACAGTTTTTTTCCCTTGAAAAGCCAACTGAGAGTACGAGTGGGCTAATTTACCATTTTTCCGCTATTTAATTATTGTTTTTGTAGCTTGTTTTTGATGCTTTTTGTGTCTTCATTCTATTTTTTATTTTTATTTTAATTTTTTATGTATAGGCATTTTATATATTGACATTTATAATCCATGTTTTTTGTAACTTCCTTATATATATATATATATTTTTTTCGTCGATCTATTTTTCATGTGAGTTAACTTTTCACATTTCACAACGGTCAGATTCATTAATTTTTTCGTGCATTAGCAAGTCTTCCGCACTAAAATTTGGCAGTTTTATCGCGCGTATACAGTTTTTCCAATTTTACCAGACAAATTTCTTATTATTTATGTAGTACTATGTTACATTTCGTGGAGCTACAGCTCCTGGTAACTTTTTAGCAAGGTTGCTGCAATGTTCCTACCTACTACTATTTTTTCAAATCTTTTTGCAGCATTATGCGCAAAAGTTTTTGAGACCAGATAGGTCATACGTCTAATTACCAGTTAGCTTTACATTTTCTTTTTCAATTTATATATATATATAAAAGGAACTTTTTCTTTGCAGTATTGTGTAGAACGTAGAAGGTTGAATCTGTAATGAAGAGCAAGAACTTTGATAACGTAGAATGTTGAAATGCGATCCACAATGAATAGGAAACTGGCAGCCGACACAGATTAAATTGTCATTTTATTTCATTAAACGTATTTCAGCCACAAACAACTTGGCACATTATTTGTGCCTGTTTCAAAATGTTTACATTTTTGATAGCTTTGCAGTAAGAAAGGAAGCAACAGACAGCTGTTCAGCCAGTCCGAAGAGTAGCAAGCGAGTGCATTATGTTCATGATGAAATCTCAATATTCAGACTGATTTAATTTTGGTTCTAAATGCATTTTGATTAGATAATTAATACTGCTGTAAAATTATTATTGGGTGTTCGAATTTTAGTTCCATTATTTACATCATGAGAATTATGTAAGAATTATACGACATAGATTAGTCTTGAAATGAATCAGTGCAAAGAGAGATTACTATTTTTCGAAGAGAGAAAGGAAATTAATTTACGCTGCTCATTTAAATTATAATTTATTTTTTACATATTCTTGCACAAACACACACACATATATATACTATACCCATGCGTACATGGATACGAAACACGAAATGAGTAATTGAAGAGTTAGGTTTGGAGGTAACTTCAACTTGATAAGATCTGTCTCCTGCCTGCTCAACAATTATTTACTAATGCAAATTAATTTAGTTTTAAAATTAAAAAAAAATTTTTTTGGAATATTTTATATATATTTATTCATGGTTTTAGATACTTGCACTTAATTTACATATGCTCTCAGAATTTAAATGATATTGTAAATTAGTTCGCAGCAATAATTAAACATTTAGTTGCATGTCATTAAAATTTCAATATTTAAAATTTTTATTTTAATTAACTTTAAATTTGCTTTATACAAATAGAGAATGTTTAGCTGGCATTAGCCTTACCTATTTTTAGATTTTTTGAATTAGATAATGATTTTTTATACCTAAAGCTACGGACGGTTTAAGAAGGATGACTAATTCAGAGAATCTATTGTAGTGCACTTTAATCTTAAATACTATTGTGTACATAATTTTAAATTTCTGTAATGGCCAATTTTACTGCTTTTATTAACAAATCGGGCTTTTTTCATTTTTCATAGTAGCTTGATCGCCCGCTAGCTTGAAGAATTACGACTTTTTTAACAAATGACTGTTTTTTCCTTTTTCTCTTGCTTTAATGGCCAAGTTTTTATAGTTTTAGCTGAATTAGCCATTTTCACTTCGAAAATTTTTTTTTCCATCCTACTACAAGCCAAGCGCCATTTTTGAGATTTTACACAACAAAACGAACATTTTGGTTCCGAGGTTTCAGGGCCCCCTTCGATAATAGGAGACGAGTTGCAGATAACGAAAATCTTCGCATTGGCTAAATGCCCACAGCACTTCGCTCCCCCCCTACGTACGTCATCCAAATGAAAGACACAAGAAATATAGCAGCCATTTTTTCAACAAGTTTTAAGAGGGACAGCTTTGCATCGCCAAAGGTCAGTTTTTGTTTCTTTTGTTACAACTTTTTCTTGGTCTTAGCAAGACCCACTTAGTTTGTTCTCTTTCTTAATTTTTGTTTTATTTTATATTAATTACAGGTTTTCATTACAGTTTTCTAAAATCTATTATTTAAAAATTAAATTGTTAATCTTTAAGCTTGCAGGCCCAGCCCGTATGTTTTTGTATTTTAGGACTAATAGCTCATCGCTATTTATTTTCGTTTTTGATTTAATTTTAATTTTAGTCTAGATTTAGGAAGTTTAGGTTTTGATTAACATATTTTAACACCTTAATGTGTCATTCTGAGCGAACGCGTCGGGAAATTGGAACAGAGAATTGAGACTATTAAAATTTCCAAGACACTTTGTCTAAATTTTAAAAAAATTTTTAGCGAAAAGTTTCAATTGTCTGTTTCGGCGGCGGCGAAACGCGTAATGGGGATAGCTTGATTCGACGTTCAAATAAATGAAATTTCCCTTGAAAAGCCTGTTTGGAAGTCGAATTGGGCTAATTTACCATTTTTTCCGCTTACTTTTTAACTTTTTTTCTGTTTTTTAATTTTATTAATGTTTTACATGTCTAATGATTTTGATTTTCATGTGTATTAATTTTTTGAAAACTGTTTAAACCTTTTGGAGCAGCAGCTCTTGGTAACTTTTAAGCGAGCTTACTACAATTTTTTATATTTACTTATTTTTCAGCATATTGCGCAAGATGTTTCTAGACCAAAATTGGTTTTTTAAAATTGTTATTACTACTGCTTTGCTTGATAAATTATATATATATATATTTATATATATGATGTGCCAATGTGGAATACCAGATGGCGTACAGATTGCTCATCGTATAATTCTTTTAATGTTTTATTTTTCGTTTTGTGAGTTGGCAATCAAATGAGTTGGACTCAAAATGCAGTAAAAGAACGACGGTGATAAAGACGTAAATAAAAATGTATTGAAGAAGTTAATTCAGTTTATAACTAACTTATTTGTTAAAAATGTTAATACTTTAAATGTAATTAAACGTGCTGTCCTTTCAAGTAGTTTCTTAGATGGTTTTTTCAAGAACATATTATATCAGAAGTCGAGATTACAAAACGCTTCAAGCAATTACTGAAATTCTACGTAAGATTACACATTGAAAAAACTTCGAAGATAGAAGGTATGTAGATTTTGTTTTCATATTTGACAATGATTCTAAGTGAAATAAAACAAATCAACGTTGCATTAAAGAACTGTAAAGCAGATAAAATTAGAACTTTACACAAATTTATTTTCAATACAGACGGTGACAGATCTAATAGAAAAAGAATTAGAAACTTTTCTGGTTTTGATTTTGGTTCAGATAATGACGATTTTCAAAAGAAATTAAAAGATGTCGAAGAAAACTTTTCATTAAATGAGCTAGTTACAATTTCTAATATTCTAAATATTTCATTTGACGGCAATAAATCAGAAATAGCGAAAAGAATTTTATCTTTATTATGTGATATTGAAACTTTAGCTGAAAATGTAAATGGCGCCGAAGCGTCTAGCTCCGATGAATCGGAAACAGAAGTGTTAATAAATAAAAGCTGCTTTACAGTTATCTGCTTTACAGTTCTTTAATGCAACGAAAACGATTTTTCAGTGAAGCGCGATATTTTTGATAAGAAAATTAACCTTGATTCTTTTATACAGTGTGCTTATGCTTGTAAAAATGTAACTACTGAGAAAAACATCGAGCAGTATTATTTTATCCCTAAACTAAGACGGAAAGTAGAAAATATCATATCAAATTGTGTTCATTGTATTCTTGTGAATTATTAAGAGAAGAAAGAAAGAAGGTCTACTACATCTATTGCAGAAAGAAGATGTGCCGTTAAAAACGTATCATTTAGATCACCTCGGACCTTTGGAGAGTACACATAAAAATTATAAGTACATTTTAGTGGTTATCGATGCATTTACTAAATATGTATGGATTTATCCGACGAAGTAGCGAAGTTGGAAATACAAAAGGCTGTATTTAGCAGTCCTTCCCAAATAATTTCGGATAGAAGTACAGCAGTCACCTCCAGTGAATTTGCCGATTACTGTTCTAAAGAGAACATTAAGCATCATCTGATTACTACCGGCTTGCCTAGAGTCAACGGTCAAGTCGAACGTATCCATCAGACTATCATATCAGTTCTTTCAAAGTTATCTTTAGAAAATCCGGCTCAGTGGTGCAAACACACAAATGAACTGCAGCAGGTTATTAGCTCGACTTACCAGCGAAGTATAGTTACCAAACCTTTTGAATTGCTCTTTGGGACAAAGATGAATGCTAAAGGTATTGATCAATTGATTGAAATGATCGAAGCTGAATTTCAAGCGAATTTTGAAGCTAAAAGAGAAGAACTTAGAAAACATGCAAAGCAACAGCTATTTAAAATCCAGGAAGAAAATAGGAAGACAGTTATTTAAGGAGAAGAGAACCAAGACCTTAGAAAGTCGACGATTTGGTAGCTGTAAAAAGAACACAGTTTAGTCCACATTTGAAATTAAAACCAAAATATCTTGGACCGTACAAAATAACTAAAGGAGGGAATACTTACGAAGTAGTCAAAGAAGGAAGTCACGAGGGTCTCAAGTGTACGACGACATGCGCTGAATTTCTAAAACCATGGAACAATTAATAGAACTAATACAGAGAGAACGCTTAACGACGAAAAGAAAGACGCCTAAAAGAAGAACGAAAGGATGCCTATGCCTAAAGACGAAGAAACTGCGGTTAAAGACGTTAACCCATTAACCGTCAAAACTACAAGGAATGTTACTTTCTCATGAAAATAATAACAAATATTAAATTAAGCATTTATAACATAAATTTACATTGAAAATTAAAAAAAAAAAAAAAAAAAAAAAATGCTCTTACCTGTGGAAAAAGCGAGTGTTGCATTCGCGCAACGTCAGCGGAGTAAGACTACGGATGTTGAGTGAGTAGGATTGTACTCGTGTGATGTTTCTGAGTGGAGCGCAGGATTACTTTTTAGCTGTATAACGTTTTATAAATCTACAGATCACTTTACTTGTAATTAATTTAATATTAAAATATAAATTGTATTTCTTTTACAAATACAGATTATTTCATTTGAAAGATTCAAGCATGAAAAGCTTGATTACAATCATGATATAAAGCTACATTACATACTTTGCATCTATAAATAGTCTGGCTATGGCACTCTTTACAACAAAGTCTTTTGTTATCAACCGACTTTCCGATAAAATGTCTACCATCTCCATGCAATGGTTTTTGAATGCTGAATTTACTAGGTCTTCCTGTTGCAGATCTATTTCTGGCTAATTCTACACTCTCAATAGGAGTTTGCAAAAGGAATAATGCATTCTTGCGTCTGAAATCTAAAAGAGACTTTATATTTCCAGTAGTAAAAAGTGATGATATTTAGTAAGTTTAAATACGGTCTCACCTCATATAATTTATCAGTATTGTCAATTTTTTTTTTTTTTTTTTTTTTTTTTTTTTTTTTTTTTTTTTTTGCTGAGCGTATATATTTGTCTGTTCATGGAGAAGAGAGTAAATGTCTTAACCAAAAAGAAAATCGAAAATCTGTGCACTAGTTTTACCTTGTGTTTTGTCTTTTATAATTTTTCTTCTGTCTCTTTCTTCATGTTTTTCCCGAGACATAACTAACAGTTCCTTTTTTATCCACTTCAAGATTTCAGTCTTCTGCCTTTTAAACTTTTTAGTATGTCTATAACTGCTTTTAGAAGGCTGAAACTTACTTCTTACGTGAACTTCAACTTCGCCAGCAGTATCATTTGGTAAAATATCATTATCAGTATTTAAAGCATTGCCATTCCTTTCTTCTTCGTCACTAGCCTCTGCAATTTCTGGGGGAAAAACAACAATATCAGTTTCATTCTGGTCATTATTAACATTATCATCATTTGTTTTTTCATCAAAAAATCTTTGAAGGGTTTCTTCTAATGTAAGATACCTCGTTCTAGGCATTTTTAAACAACCAGAACATGAACCGGAACATCGAAAGGAATGAGTGAAAAAGGAGATTGACTACTCGTTTCTTGCTGACGTTGCGTCAACGCAACACCTGTTTTCTCTTCCTTCCCAACACAAATATAAACATCTGACTGATGTAATGTTCTGATAAACGGTGACCTTGACTAAAAATAGATCACCCATAAAGACGGCGATTCTTTCGTTAAATATTTTCAGCAAAAACACCCTCTCGAAAATTTTGCTTAAAGTATGAGATTAATTATTATAAACAAAATGATTGTTGAAGGCAAATATTTTTTACAGAAATAATCTTCATAATATTCCCTACACAAAATCATCTGCTAGTATAAAATATCTTAGGTAGTTATATTTATATACGCATTTATTTTGACCGTTGCGTCAACGCAACACCAGCGGCTAATGGGTTAACTACTGTTTCTATGGCAGATGAAGCTTGAAGACGATGTTTGCTCATTTTCTCATTCTTGAAACAAAGACGATTAAGACTCTAAAAACATTTAACTTTTATTTTTATTATCTTTCTAGTTTTGCTTTTGTCTTTTCTTTGTATTTGCAGTGTCGCCTGGAGGACCAGACGAGTGCAGCACGGCCGAATGATGTACTGCTAATATTGAATACCAGATGGCGCACAGATTGCTGATCGTATAATTCTTTTAATGTTTTATTTTTCGTTTTGTGAGTTGGCAATCTGATGAGTTGGACTCAAGATGCAGTAAAAGAACGACGACGATAAAGTCGTAAATAAAAATGTATTGAAGAAGTTAATTCAGTTTATAACTAACTTATTTGTTAAAAATGTAATTACTTTAAATGTAATTAAACGTGCTGTCCTTTCAAGTAGTTTTTAAATGTCTTTTTCAAGAAGGTATTACCACATTACCATATATATAATTATAAAACAATTCTTTTGGAAACAAAACACAAACATGCCTAATATTTTCGAGCATTAAGCTGACAGAAAAGTTATCACGTTAAAGACAGAAAGTAAGAAATTTAGAACTAATATTTCACAAAGACCAGAAATGGAAATTCATAATTAATAAATTTCAAATAATCATATAAATGCAAAAATGTTTAATTTTTACCAACCAGACGCATGCTGATGATAGAATGACGAGTACTTTATTTCTCTCAAATTTTCTATGAATCCTAAATCTCGATGAGAGTAATACAACTGAGATTTTAGACTTCCACGTTCTCTCTCTCTTTCTCGCTTTTTCAATGGCCATTCATAACAAAAAGTGCTTTATTAGTGCAGCAAAAAATTAAAATTCCACATTTTAATATTGTAAAAATGCAACATTTAACGTTTCTCTCTGCTAAAAGTGATGCTTCTCTGAAATACCAGCATGAAAAGGTAGCATTTGGAGAAAAAGGAGATCGAAAATGATATTCGTAGTTCAAAATATATAAGGTGTCATGTAATTATTAATTTATCAACTCCTTTTTCCAGTCAATCTTGATATGGAGTTGACAGCTTGGAAGTTTTGAATAAACTATCTTACACTTCATTTAATGAGGTCTTGTTGCCTAATAATGAAGCTCATCTTATACCAGTTGTGGTAGTTATGACAGGGTGTGAAAGCTTCCTTAGGCTTTTATCAATACATAACCGAAAAAAATTAAATTATGGAAATGCCTGTGATAAATAAAAGACAACATATTTCCCTCGAAAAAAGGAGAAACATCATGGCAAAGTTCTGTCTTGTGAATAAGCAATACTTGAAACAGCTGTTGATCGCATGTCATTTGAGGTAGCATATTAAGTGTTATTCTTTCCGCTTTTTTGTTGTCCAAGTAGATTATATATGTAGAGAATTAAAGCACAAAATGCTGCTTAGAAGTACGTTGCCATGATTATTACACAGGATAACGGAATATAGTTCGTGGTCGCTTGAAGGTATAAAGTTTCCATGCGTGGGTCATAAGTGTATAATGACGATAATTTTGTAGCTAGATATACATTAAGCAGTGTAAAATTGTACGCAGTGTGATTATCCTTTATATTTAGCTAGAGACTTCCACTAGAGTTACTATATTTTGCAAGGATGATTATCATTATTGAACGAGAAAGGCATTTGAATTGCCTAGCTACTATACATCAAATAAAAGTCTCTGAATCTGAAAGCTTTCAGATCTTACATTACGCCCAAAGAGGCATTTTTTAACGTTTTGTGTGTTACCTTTATTTATTAAATATGTTATTCGCACTTAAGCCATAAAATTCAGTTTAATAGCAATATCGCAAAATAATTTTTAAATGAGCGTATATTTAGAATTTCCGATATACAGTTTCGGGCGCTGGAGACAATTTTTTTTCCCGTACAGTTTCGCTTTGAAATCGTTCAGTTTGTCAATAAAATGCTTTAATGTCTGACAAAATATGAAATAGATAATAAAACAAATTCAAAATTAGCTGGAGGATTACATTATTCAAAATTGGATGGCTCTAGGTACCGTTGTTTTATCACAATGCGAGTAACATACATACATTTATGTAGATTCTTTATTATTTAATTTCTTTAAATATAATACAGGACGATAATATTTGGTAGCAACAATTTAAAAAGGGAATCAACGCAAAATGCCAAAACAAAATTAATAGCCCTTCTGGGCTAATAAACAAATCGACTTAACTCCCCATTCCGGAGAAGTGGGGAAGTAACTTTGTCGTTTAAATGCATGCAGACGATTCGATTAATCAGGAAAAAATCATACAATTTCTTATAATTCGCCTAACAGTAGCAAGACCTTTTTCAAATTTGATCATGTTATAAGGTATTTCTCCAGCTTTCTTAGCATCCATTCGTGGTGTCGTGGTCAGCACGCTCTACGTGTATTCGAGAGGCCCGTGGTTCGAGTCCTGGGTTCGAGTTGTTCATTTTTCATATCTCCTGCTTTTAAAAAAATATCTAATGTTTCTACAGTGGCGCCCGAACTAAAAAATATGATGGAATGATGGATGATGATTCTCCACCACCAGGATTGGCGATAGGATCCCCTAATCTTCAGTAGCCCTTTAAAAGGGGGAATATGTAAGTTATTTCTCCCGCAATTTTAGCATTCCTTCGTGGTGTAGTGGTCAGCACGCTCGACGTGTATTCTAGAGGTTCGTGGTTCGAGTCCCGGCAAGGCCATTGCTCTTTTTTCATGTCTTCTGCTTCTAAATAACGTAATGTCTCTACACTATAGACAGAAAAGTAATGTTGGATAAGAATGGTATCCGTAAATATTATGCCAAACTTTAGTCAAATATAGGTTATCCTGAATGAGTACTCATATCATTTCCAAATTTAAATTTTGAAATTTAGAAATGGTTTCTTTCCAAGAAAGACTTAGATATACAAGTGCTGAGACAGTTCATTGCAGTTTAAGGCAAACGATATAAATATCCGCTAGGAAAAAAAAAAAAAAAAAAATTGGGCACTATCTTTTTGGAGTCGAGAAAAAATATGTGTTTTTTGTTGATGTACTTGCAATGCGATACTGCATTCTATTTATTCTAAATTACGTAATTAAATAAAATTTACTGATGTAATTACTTGCCTTCAATCTTTGTTCCCTCTGCGGACACCGATGCACACCAAAATTTCTGTTAACTAAATTTAGCAATTGCAGAAATATTGTAAGAGATTTTATTGACTATTTAAAGCTTGTAAATAACAGTGCTTAGTAATTTTACCGTTGTGCAGGCTCTGGCACCGGCTATACATTTCATATCATGTGACAAGAACGGAAATCTGAATTAGACAGTAGTTATATGAAACTGGTAGGGTTTCCCGCTCTTTATAGAAAAGTTTAGGTATAAGCATTATCCGTCATTATTTAAGAGAAAATATTGAAAGAAAATTAAATACTTCCAATTAGAAAAGTAAAGAAACTTTTGCGACATTCATTATATGTGTGAGCTTTGGTAGTAATTTTAGATAGGCAGCTAGATCTTCGTGTTCATTATTCAAAATTTTAGTGTTTAAAAATATGAATACAGTACCCTTAAAACGTTTGTGCGCGTCTAATATTAAAAGCAGCCCAGAAGGGCTAGAAAAATAAACTGAACTTCAAAACTAATAAACAGATAACCCTGATATACAATTTGACTATGCACTTTGCTAGGCTACGCACAGCTACAATAATGTGTATTGATAACATCCACATCATTATACCTATGCGTAGCCTAACAAAGTGCACAGTAATTTTAATATCTTGTCAAAGTGAAAGTGCAACATAGTTTCGAGCAGCGCTTCCTCGTAATGTTTTAAGTGAAATTCGGAAAATTTGGCTCTGAAACATTAAAGTTGTAGAGAAGAGCGTATGAGGATGCTTGTGATCTTCTTTAAGCCCAAGTCTTCAGGCGAAAAAATGTACTGACGTGTGGTAAACAGAGCATTAAGGACAAACAGTGTGCAAGCACCCTTCAGTTTCAAGAATTGAAAACAATGTGGTTCATACAGATACATGTAACTTTCCTCTTTCAAAGTGCATTATTTTGGAATTGCTGAAAACGACTAGGCAGTTACAACGTGGTTTCAACATTTCAAATGATGATTTCATTCACTGCTATGAAAAAAGAGTAATGCGGCAGAGTCTTGAAATCGGTCACAGGTGGCATGATTTGAAGGTGATAAACTGCAGCTGCATACATGTTCAATAATTTTATTAAATCATTCTTATTTCTTTTGGATCAGATAATCCGTGACACGTCCGTGACAAAGGGCACATGAATGAAGCTTGGAAGAAATGATGACGCAGAAGTTAATTTTATATCTCCATCTCTTTATTCAATTGAAAGGCATTTTATCACTCTTTACTAAATAAATTAATTTCAATGCGTCATAGGATCAGAACAAAGGAAAGGCAGTTGAGAAGCAGCGGCATAGGTCTTGACTGCAAAGGGAGAAAACAGCTTCTGACGCAAAATGGCGCGAATTCGTTATTTATAGAAGCGGTTACGTAATAGGCTGGAATGTTCTCGAAAGTACTGGTCTAGGGGGAGCATCCTGAATTGCAGAAAGTTAATTAAAGGTTGCTTGTTCGCATAGAGCAAAGACGTCCTATTTTTTTATATTTTACATTTATATATTTAATTTTGGGAAGCCAGTTCTTAAATTATTAAGCTTACAGTAATTACTTAGCTTGAGACTGATTTAAATGTTGAATTTAAATCTTCATACTAAGATCAGATTGTAATTCCTTTTTAATCTTATAACTTTTATGCTTTTTTAATTTTTCAATTATATTTTGAAATATTATAGGATTTTAATTATAAATTCTTCGAACTATTAAAGTGTAATCGGAAATTTCAAAATGCAGTTTCCCCGCCATCGTATTTTATGCTTTTACGCAGTTTTTTTCTTACCATGATATTTTGTTACTTAATTTATTGAAATGCGTGATATATTTTATAAGCGAAAAGAAGTTATTTAGAGTTTGAAACTATTTTGTTAATTACGCAGTTGGTGAACAATATTGTTACGAATTTTGTATTTAGTTATATATTTTTAGTAGAATTTTAATTAAAATTGTTTTATTTTCCCGCACAATGCAGCACGAGGCATATTTTAAGAGAAAGCTACGCCGGAAAATTAAAAATATGGGAGCACGTGGATTTAACATTTAATAAATAGATATCTCGCAATTCATATTTCTACTGAATTAATGTAATTGGCTACTATGCTAGGTGTAAACGTAATTCTACTCTTTTGCTTTCCAGAAATATCGAGAAGCAGAAATTACTAGAAATCTCCCACGACCAATTTAAGGTTATAAAAAGCCAAACAGAGAGCATCTCAGCGCAGTTGCTTAGTTGCTGTTAATGCGAAATATCTATAAAATTATCA